CTTCCTTTAATTTTGTGAAGTACTACAGTATCCTTCCTCTTATCTTTGAGCAGACTTGCTAGACTTAGTCTATATTTCTTGCCACCAAACTTACCCAATAGAGAAATCAAATAAACTTACTCTTTTTTTAAAAGATTTTATTTATTTATTTGAGAGAGAGAGAGATAGTGAGAGAGAGAGCAGGAGCAGTGGGGAGAGGGAGAAGCAGGCTCCCTGCTGAGCAGGGAGGCCGACATGGGGCTCGCTCCAAGGATCCTGGGATCATGATCTGAGCCAAAGGCAGATGCCTAACCGACTGAGCCACCCCAAATAAACTTATTCTTTATCAAATCTGTAATGCAAGTGATAAGGGTTGCATCCACTTGGTGGTAATTATGGTCATATTTAATTGTGTGTGTGTGTCAGTATGTATGTGTGTGTGTGTTTGATTGCATGATTTAGTATTTTACCAGATGCTATAGAGCATTATTATTTTCATCATCATTGTCATCATAAGCATCATTGTAATCATAGTAGCTCTTGTTTATAGAGAACTTTCTATGATCTGACCACTGTATTAAACACTTTGCATACAAAATAACATTTATTATATAATTACAAAATACAATCAAATGGATATTTTCATTATCACCATTTTATAGGTTGGGAAGGTGAGGCTGAGAACGTTGCTTAAAGTCATGTATCTGGAAAGTGACATAGCAACAATCTGAATCCAGGTTGTCACACTCCAAAGAAAGATGATACTCTTAAGCTCAGCATTGTAATATAGAGACATAGTTCTGCTCCAAAGATATTATATTCCTGGTTGATTGTTTTCTTTATTTTGAATGTGGAAATGAGATGGGGATAACACTGTACTTTTGGGAAATTTAATATTCTATTTTTGTTGGCTTAATTTTATTATCCTTTGTTTTATGTAGGTTATATTGTTTGACGAAGGCAAGGGTCAGGCAGGTGGGGCACAAAATAGATAAATTGTCCCAAGAAGGCCTCTTTGGGAAGATGATGTTGAAACTGAGACAGAATGATAAAGACAGCTATACAAAGATCAGGGACAGGGTGTTCCAGGGAAAGGGAAAAGCAAATGTGAAGATAATGAACTTGGTGAGGTTAGAGGGACAGAAAATAGTCACATGAGGAGTGAGCAAGGGAGTGAATGCTAAGACAAGACAGAGCAAAAGGCTGGGACTGGATCAGTCTAGGCCATAGTAGGGAATATGCATTTTATTATAAGCACAGCGGGTTATGCAGAGCTGCATTGACTACCAGATTTATTTCTTAAACCAAAAAATGTTTTAAATTTATAATTCCATATTTATAATGTTGGCCACAACATTATGATTATTCCTTGTCTGTACTTTAGTATTTTTCACCATTTGTGAAGAAACATTAAAACAAGTTAAATGGTAGTGTGCCGAGTTTTTTTTTTCCTTCTTTTAGAGATGGTTGTTTAACTAAGACTAAACAATGGGAACCCCTTGTAAACATGCTCAGTATCATTGTGGAGAACAAAGAGGGCCTCTAACTGTAACAATGTTCCTGGTTGTGGTTTTTTTTTTTAGTTTTTTATGTTTTTTTAAAAAATAAAATTCCAAATGTTTATAAAAAAAATAAGCACAGTGGGTTAGCCATTTACAAATTTAGGGGAGAAGAATAATATGATTTGTTTTACATTATAAAGGATTAATTTTTGCTCTGGTAATGGTAGAGTAGCCAACAACCCTCCACTGAACAAGTAGAAAAATTATACAAAATGAGGAGAAAATATTTATTTAAAGGCATTGAAGAGCTACCAAGGCTCCTGGGACTTGAGGGTCCAGAATCCTGGAGAGAGGAAGTGTGCTGAAGGGACCTCAGTATTTTCACTGTTTTTCCTCTATGAAGCATTTGTGGATTTGTAAGTGATAAAGCTCTGAGAAGCTAAAAAGCCCAATAGAAAACAGCAGCTAAGAGGTTAGGAAAATTGAGCAGAGATTTTGACAGTCCTAATGATGCAAAAATCCTAAAACAAAATAATAAAAGACCAACCAATATATATGAAAGAGAATATGTCATGAGCAAGTTGTATTTATCATAGGAATGAGAGGTTGGATAACATTAAAAAAGTCAAATGATATAATAAAGAAAAATCATATAATCTTAATAGATACAGAAATGCATTTGATAAAATTTATATTTAATCCTGATGAAAATGTTTGGCAAACTAGGAATATAACTAAACATCTTTAATAGAGAATATCTGAAAGTAAGATGAACCCAAAGAAATGCACACCAAGACACATTATAATTAAAATGTGTGTAAAGACAGGGAGAATCTTAAAAGTAGCAAGAAAAAACCAACCTGTTAACATTTGAGGTAACCCCTCTATGACTATGAATAGATTTATCAGCAGAAACGTTGCAGGCCAGAAGAGAATGGCACAATACACTCAAAGTGCTGAAAGAAAAAAATTTCCAACCAGGAATACTCTATTCAGCAAAGTTATCATTCACAATTGGAGGAGATATAGAAAGCTTCCCAGATAAGTTAAAGGAGTTCATTACCACTAAACTGGCCTTACAAGAAATGTTAAAGGGAATTCTTTAGGCTGCAAAGAACAAAGAAAGGGCGTTAATTAGAACAAGAAAACATAAGAAAGTATAAATCTCACTGGGAAAGGTAAATATAGAGTAAAGTTAGTGGATTAATCACTTACAAAGTATATATAGCTAAAAAACAGAAGTGGGAAAATAACTAACTACAATAATTAATTAAGGAATACACAAGATACAAGAATGTAAAGTGTGACTTCAAAAGCACAGGATGTGGTGGATAAATAAGTCAGAATGTAGAGCTTTAGAATGTGTTCAAACTTAAGTTGTTATCAATTTAACATAGACTGTTAAAATTTGTTTTTTGTAACCACAAAGCAAAAGCCTATAGTAGATACATGAAAGATGATGAGAAAGAAATCTAAGCATACCACTAAAGAAAGTAATCAAACCACAAAGGAAGATGGACCACCTGGGTGGCTCAATCAGTTAAGTGTCTGCCTTCGGCTCTGGTCATGATCCCAAGGTCCTGGGATCAAGCCCTGCACTGGGCTTCCTGCTCAGTGAGCAGTCTGCTTCTCCCTCTCTCTCTGCCCTTCCACCCCTGCTTGTGTGCACTCTCTCTCAGATAAATAAATAAAAATCTTAAAAAAAACCCCACAAAGGGAGAAAGCAAGAGAAGAAGAAAGGTACAGAGGAAGTACAAAACAGCCAGAAAACAACAAACAAAGTGGCAATAAGTATGTGCCTGTCAATATTTACTTTAAATGTACATGGACTAAATTATCCAATCAAAAGACAGAATGGCTGAATGGATAAAAAAACAAAAATAACAACAACAACAACAACAACAAAACCAACAAGACCTATCTATATGTTTCCTATAAGGGACTCACTTGAAAGGTAAGGACATACACAGTTGAAAGTGAAAAGATGGAAAAAGATATTCCATGCAAATGGAAACCAAAAGAAAGCTGAGGTAGCCATTATTTCAGACAAATAGACTTGAAAATAAAGACTGTAAAAGAGACAAAAAAATAAAGAGGTCAATCCAACAAAAGTATATAATATTTGTAAATATTTATGCACCCGACATAGGGGCACCTTAATATATAAAGCCAATATTAATAGTCCTAAAGGGAGAAACAGACAGCAATACAATAATAGAAGAGGACTTCAACATCCCCCTTACATCAATGGATAGATTATCCAGACTGAAAACTAATACAGAAACACTGGCTTTGAATGACAGATTAGACCAGATGGAATTAATAGATATATACTGAACATTCCATCCCCAAACAGTAGAATATACATTCTTTTCAAATGCACATGAAACATTCTTCAGGATAGATTACATGTTAGGTCACAAAACAAGTTTCAATAAATTTAGGAAGATTGAAATCATATCAAGCATCTTTTGTGTATGGTGACAGGTATTGACCAGACTTTTGTAGTGATCATTTCACAATATATACAAATATTGACTCATTAGGATATACACCTAGAACTAGTATAATATTGTATGCCAGTTATACCTCAATAAAATAAATCTGTAAAGAAAATCCACAGGAAACATCATGCTTAAGTGAAATATTGAGAGCCTTATCCTGAAATTAAGGATGAGAAATGGATGTCAGTTATCACTCCTTCTTTTCAGCATTATACTGGAGGTCTTAGTGAATTCAGTGAGGTTAGGGAAAAAAAAAATATAAGGATTGGAGACAAAGCAATAAAATTATATTATCTGCAAAGATATAATTATGTAAATTTAACAAATGAATTTAGCAAGTTTGCTGGCTACAAAGTCAATATAAAATATATTTTGTATATATTAGCAACAAAGAATTACAAAATGAAATTTTAAAAAGATAGCATTTAATGGAGTTCCTGGCTGGCTCAGTCAGTGGAGTTTGTGACTTTTGATCTTGAGGCTTTGGGTTCGAGTCCCATGTTGGGTGTAGAGATTACTTAAAAATAAAATCTTTTTTTTTTAAGATTTATTTATTCATTTGAGACACAGAGATACAGAGAGAGACAGCATAAGCAGGGAGGGGGAGAAGCAGGCCCCCCGCGGAGCAGGGAGCCCGATGCGGGGCTTGATCCCAGGACCCTGGGATCATGACCTGAGCTGAAGGCAGATGCTTAACCATCTGAGCCACCCAGGCGCCCCTTAAAAATAAAATCTTTGCTGAAAAGCTGTCATGGCTGCGCCTGTAGAGAACCACGGGGTTCTGACCTCAGCGGTTCTACTTGTCCCAGTCCCTGTGCTTAAAGTCCAGGTTCGGCCGTTGCTAAATCTTCATGTTAAAAAGTATCCGTCAACATTAAAGTTTTTTCCTTAAAGACCTCTCCAAAGCAAGGAAACCAACGGCATGTCTTCTCTTTAAACAATGGCTTGTCTTCTCTTTCACTCCCTGAATTGGCATTGTATTATATAGACTACTTTAAAGTGATTTGAAAGTGTTTGAGTGGATAGCACAATGAATAGCAGAGCAGGTTCCTTTTTATGGAACCTCAGACGATTCAGTACTTTAGTTCCAACAAGCAGAACTATGAGGTTGTATCCTTTGGGATTTTCCAGACTGAAAATTGTTTATTCAAACTGGAACCCAAGAAACCTTCTCTTAAGTGACTTTGGTAATGGAGTGCAGTCATCTATTAGATATCTATTTCAGGATGTCTTAATTTTTAAATCAGGAGATAATTTTCAAACAAAGGGCATAGGCACTGAAACAGTCCTTACAGTCGACAGACTGCTTTGTCCTAGAAGACTGTCCTTTGATTCAAAACACTCTCTTGACCCTGATGATGGATTAAAGAAGATAACATTTCATCATAAGGCCTCCAATGAAGATATGCTCACCAAGAAAACAAAACCAATCCCTGTCAACTATAAAAAACTGTCTCAGGTATGTAGTTCTCTGAGTGATGTGTTAGATACATTTTCAGAAGGACCTATATTTCCCAGTAGTGACTATTTTTCAGCAATGTGGATAATTGCCAAAAGGATGTCTGATGACCAGAAGTGTGTTGAAAGACAACTGATGTTTAATCACCCTGTATTTAACCAGCTGTGTGAACAAGTGATGAGAGAATCCAAGATCATGCACTGTGACCACCTGCTGTTCAGTCTTCATGCTATGGTGAAGCTTGGAATTCCTCAGAACGCTCTGCTGGTACAGACTTTGCTGAGGGTGGTCCAGGAACGTATCAATGAGTGTGATGAGAAATGTCTTTCAGTTTTGTCAAGTATTTTAGAGGCAATGGAGCCATGCAAGAATGTGGACGTTCTTCGAGCAAGATTGCGGATACTAGTTGATCAGCAAGTCTGGAAAATAGAGTGTGTCTTTACATTACAGGCTGTGATAAGATGTGTTGGAAAAGATGCACCAATTGCTCTCAAAAGGAAACTGGAGATGAAAACCTTGAGAGAATTAGACAGATTTTCTGATTTGAATAGCCAGCACATGTTTGAGGCATTAGATGCCATGAATCACCACTCTATTATGTTTCTGGATGAATGCAGTAAGATGGTCATAGGTAATATCCATGGGTGTCCTTTTAAAGTACTGATCAACATATTGCAGTCTTGCAGAGACCTCCAGTACTGTAATTTAGATCTTTTTAAGGGAACAGCAGATTATGTGGCTACAACTATTGACATCTGGAAGTTAAAGCAAGTTCTCTTTCTCCTCATTTTATTTGACAACCTTGGCTTTCGACATACTGATTTGATGGACTTGTTCATGAAGAAAGTGATAGCTGATCCTTCCTCTCTAAACATGAAAAGCATTATCTGTATTCTTCATGTGTATTCTTCTCTCAATCACTTCTACAAATGCCAGACCTCAGAGTTCCAAGAAGTTATGGCTACTTCTCTGACTGGTTATCTCCACCACATCTCTTCTGAAAATCTCTTGAATGCTGTGTGTTCATTTTGCTTGATGAACCATTTTGCCATGGCCCGTATTAATCCACTTCTCCAAAAGGACGTCATCAATGAACTGCTGATGTCAGGTGATGAGAGGAATGCTCACAAGCTTCGTATTTTGGCTGCTTGCCTAAAACTGGATATTTCTTGTCACAACACCATAGATTTGGCCCCACCGCTGCCGTCCACAGCATTGTATCCAAACGTGAAGGTGGCAGATGCACTAAGTAGCTTTCTGGGAGAAGAATACTTCTCAGAAAACAGACAGTTGCCACACAATTACTATATCAATTTTGAAGTAAGAATGGATATTAACAGGAGTAAAGTGCTTCCATTTTCCGACGTGGTAATTTCTGCTGCAGATACTCAAAGAGTAGCTGAATTGTGTGTTCCTAGATGTACTTACTGTTTGGATTTAGCTCACCCCAGAGGATTCCTTGCTATGAAAATGCGACATCTGAAAGTAATGGCTTTTCACATAATCTTGGTCTGCAATTGGGAGGTGGAAAGGCTGGAGATGCAGGATGTAGTCACACTTTTGAAGACCAAACTCTACTCAGCTGAAGCCTTTCTTACTGCTGATGTAAATCTACAAAGCACGTGTTAAAGTCAAAGCAGCCTTTTCATATTAGCAGACATAAGTTTGTAAAAGAACTTTAATAAAGACTACAATTCAGAAAAAAATCTTTGAAAACATAAAATAAAATAAAAAAGATGGCACTTAAAATGAATCCTACAACATATAAAAAAAAAAAGACTATAAACTACGACCAAATTGTATTCCCAAAGAGTATGAGGTGGAACAATTAAGACATCTGTATCCCCAGATTACCCTATACTGTATACACAACTAACTTGAAATGCATTACAGATAAAAATATAAGCAATGTAATTATAAAACGTCTAGATGAAAACATACAAGAGTTTTTATGACCTTAGGTTAGTCAAAGATTTCTTAAATATAACACCAAAACCAAGATCCCTAAAAGGAAAAAAAGAGATAAATTGGACATTATGAAATTTTGAAAAAATGAAAATATAAGCCACAGAATGGGATAAAATATTTGCCAATTATATCTGATCAAACATTTACATCCAGGTATATAAAGAACTCTTACAAGTCAACAAGAAGACAAACCAAAGTATTTATATGTATTAAGGGCAAATAAACCTGTGAAAATATTCTCATTATCACTAGGGATGTATAAATTGAAACCACAAGAAGATGTCAGTTCACTAGAATGACTAAAATAAAAAAGATAATGAAAAGTGCTGGTGAAGATAGGGAGAAATTGGGAAAATGTATCCATTGCTGGTGGAAATGTAAATGGTACAGCCACTCTGGAAAACAGTATCAGTTTTTGATAAAGTTCAACACATATTTATTTATGGAATCAAGCAATTTCATTTCTAGTTATTGAAGTAAAAACTTACATGAAACAAAGTGTATGTCTACCCAAAGACTTGTGCATGAACATTCATAGCAATGTCATTCATAATGGCCCCAAGCTAGAAGCAATCCATGTATCTATCCAGTGGTTAGTAGATAAACAAAAACTGGTATACTTACATAAAGGAATGCTACTCAACAGTTTTTTAAAGGAATAAACTACTGATATATGAGACAACTTGGATACACTTCAAAAATATTATCCTAAGTGAAAGAACGTAGACACAAAAGATATCCCATTTTGATGAAATTTCTGGAAAAGGCAAAACTATAAAAATGGCTGTTTTTGCCTCCTGTAGGAGTGGGAATTAACTGTAAATGAGCATGTGGTGACATTTTGGGTTGACAGAAGTGTTCAAATAGTAGATTGGGGTTATGTTTGCACAACTGTATAATTTGCTAAATCTCGTGAAATTGTACACTTGAAATGGATAAATTTCATGGTGTATAAATTTTACCTCAATAAACCATTTTTTTAAAGTTACCATTTAAAATAGCCTAAAATACTAAAAATAAGAATAAATCTAACAAAGGATGTATTAGATGTCTACAGAGAAATACTATTGGGAGAAATTAAAGATAATCTATATAAATGGAATGACATAATATATTCATGGATTGGCTGGCTCAGTATTGTAAAGAGGTCAGATCTCTTCAAATTGATCTCAAAATTCAGTGAAGTCCCGGCCAAAATATCAGAGTGCCAATGGCCCAGAGTAGGTAAGATAAGTGAAGAATTAGAACAAAGTTGGAGGACTTAAACAATGAGATATCAATATATATTGTAAAGCTACAATAATTAGGATAGTGCCGTATTACTCAAGAATTAAACAAATAGATCAATGGAACAGAACAGAGAATACAGATATAGAGCCATTCATATAGGGACACTTGATTTCTGAGAAAGGTGACCCTGTGGAGCAGTGAGGAAAGGTTGCTATTTTCATTAAGTGGTGCTGAGAAAATTGGGCATTCATGTGAGAAAAACATTCCTTACATAATAAACAAAAATAAATTCTAGCTGGATTGTTGATCTGAATGTGAGAGGTAAAACAATAAGGCATCTGAAGGTAATACAGTAGAATACCTTAGTGATTTGGGGGTAGCGAAATTTTGCTTACCAAGAAGAATTATTTGTAATTTGTAAAAAATGGAAACTTCCCAAATGTTCCTCAACTGATGAATGGATAAATTAATGTAATATGTCCACACCGTGGAATATTATTCAGCAAGGAAAAGAAATGAAGTATTGATATGCACTATAACTTGGATGAAGTTTGAAAACCTTATGCTAAATGAAAGAAACCAGTCACAAAAAACTATAGATTATATGATTCCATTTATATGAAATGTTCAGCAAAGGCAATTCAGTAGAGACAGACGTGGATTAGTGCTTGCTTAGGGCTCGGTGAAGGTGAGAGTCTTGGGAGGAATGGGAAGTGGCAGCTAGAGGGCATGCAGTTTGTTTGGGGGTGATAAGAATATTATAAAATTAGATTATTGTGATTGTTGCACAATCTTGTGGACACACTAAAGAACTTTGAATTGTGCATTTTGAATGAATTGGATAGTTTGTGAATTATTATTTCAATAAACCTTTTTTTTTAAAAAGCAAAAAATGAAAAATATATTAGACTGCATTAAAATGAAAAGTTTTTATACCAAAGACACTATGAAAGGAGAGAAAAGGGGGCGCCTGGGTGGCTCAGTCATTAAGTGTCTGCCTTCGGCTCAGGTCATGGTCCCAGGGTCTTGGGATCGAGCCCCACATCGGGCTCCCTGTTCTTCAGGAAGCCTGCTTCTCCCTCTCCCACTCCCCCTGCTTGTGTTCCCTCTCTTGCTGTGTCTCTCTCTGTCAAATAAATAAATAAAATCTTTTTTAAAAAAAAGGAGAGAAAAGGCAATCCACGAAATGGGAAATGATAATTGCAATATATATGTCTGTCAAAGGACTAGTTTCCATATGGATATAAATCAATAAGAAAAAGAGATAACCTGATAGAAAAAATGGGCAATGGAATTGAACAAGTTCTTCACAAAAGAAGATATCCATAGGGCCAATCAGTATTTGAATTGCTCCTTATTATAATTAACCATCATGGAAATGCAAAATAAAGGGACTGTGAGATACCATTGCACATACGTCAGAATGACTAAAATGAAGAAGACTGATAATACCAAGTGTTGACAAGGATATAAAGCAACTGGAATACTCATACATTGCTGTGCTGTTGAAAATTAATATAATCATTTTAGCAAATTGTTTGGCAATATCTGCTGAAGATGAATAATTAAATGCCCTATGATTTTGCAGTTCTACTAGACATATGCTCAAAACTGAGAATGTTCATAGCTCCGTTATTTTTTTTTAAAGATTTTATTTATTTATTTGACACAAGATAGCAAGAGAGGGAACACAAGCAGGGGGAGTGGGAAAGGAGAAGCAGACTTCCCGCCGAGCAGGGAGCCCGATGCCGGGCTCAATCCCAGGACCCCGAGATCATGACCTGAGCCGAAGGCAGTCGCTCAACCAACTGAGCCACCCAGGCGCCCCCATAGCTCCATTATTTTTAATAGCTCTCAAATGGAACTCAGTCTGAATGGTCATCAACAGTGGAATGAATACATAAATGGTATCATCATACAATAAAATATTTATAAAGTAAAGAAAATGAATCAGTTATTTCAACTTGCAACAACAAGGGTGAGTCTCACTAACAGAAGAAGCCATATATGAAAGTGTATGTACTGTGTGGCACCATTCACATAAAATCCCAAACCATGTAAAACTGATCCATATTTGTAGAGGTCAGGATAATGGTTAGCTCTGAGATGGAATAGGGGGAAGTTACTTGGGGGGTTATGAGGTGTGTTTCTAGGGTGTTGGTAATATTCTCTGTCTTGGGTGGCGGTTACATGAGTATGTGTACTCTGTGGAAATCCATCATAATTTATGCACTTTTCTGCATGTATGTTATATTCCGTTTAATAAGTTTTTTTTGAGAGTTGATTGGAGTGATGCAAAAATGAGGGCAGGATTTGGGAAATTCATATAATTATCTAGTTGAAATGATGTGGGAATCGGTAGTGGTGGGAAGAGAAGGAAGTGGCGATTTGAGAGGCAGTTAGGAAGTAGTTTGGATTGTAGCTTGGTGGTTGATTCAGTATAGTAGTGTTCTAGGTTGAATGGTGTCCCTGCCAAAGATATTTGAAATCCTCACCTCCCATTGCCTCAGAATGTGACTGTATTGGAATCATGGCCATTGCGAATGTAATTAGTTAAGATGAGGTCATACTGGAATAGGATGGGCCCTTAATACAATGTGACTGGTGTCCTTCCAAGTAGAGAAGAGACACAGAGATACACAAGAGAGAATGGGGTAACAGAGGCATATAGTGATGCAGCTGCAGGCTCACAAGTGCCAAGGGTTGATGGCCACCAACAGAAGCTAGGAAGAGGCAAGGAAGGTTTCTACCCAGAGTCTCAGAGGGAGCATGGCCCCATGGACACCTTTGATTTAGGACTTCTTGCCTCCACAACTGTGAGACAACACATTTCTTTCCTTTGAGCCACACTCAGTTTGTGGTATTTTGTTATAGTAGCCCTAGGAAACTCACACAGGGAGGATGGAAAGGCAACCTCTGGGTGGATGGTGCACCGAATTGACCAAATTGAATTTTATATGGACCATCAAAGAATTTGAACATTTAATTATGGGGAGATGATGCTTTTAGCAGACAGTAGAACACAATACATCAAGGGTTGAGCACCTCGAGAGAGCATTTTGTTCCTTATTCTGCATTCGGCCGGGAATTCACCTAAATCTCTTTGCCTGGTCAGGAATATATCTTCTTAAAGCATTTAGGAGAACGGCTCACAGCCTTCCTTAGAATTATTTGGAAGACTGGCAGCAGGAGGGGCAATTTGGTATAGGTAGTTAACATGTCCCTGCTTGTTTTTTCCAACTTGTGGGAAACAGCTGGAAGTGGAGTCCTGAAGACACAGCGTTTCTATTTTATTATGCTTCCAGAAATCTGAATAAGGAAGCAGGGTTACTGCAAATTAGCTACATTTCCCTTTCTTTTTCTCAGTTTTGAGTTCATGGGAGATTTGCTAGGGCTTGTATTCTTTTCATCTTTTCAGGGGCAGTGGGAGA